TAGAATTTGGTAAGTTGTGATCAACTAATTCGATAATTTGTGACTGATAAATAATTTTTGACCAATTAATTTGATCATTTGTGATCGAGACATAAATCGTGACTTATAAAATTTGTGATTTGTAACTTATAAATATATTGTGACCTATAAATTTTTTGATTTGTAACCAAAAAATAATTTGTCATCGATTAATTTGATAATATGTAACTAATTAATTTGATAATTTATGATTGTGAAATAAGTTGTGACTTATAAAATTTGTAATTTGTGATCGATAAATAAATTATGACATATAAAAATCTTGATTTGTGGTTGAGAAATAATTTGCTATCAATTAATTTGATAATTTGTGTTAAATTAATTCAGTAATTTGAAACCGAATTGTATAGTATTGTAATTTTAATATATCTAATTAATATTTTTTTAATTATTTATTTAATTAATAAAATTTAATTATCACCAACTTATTTCTTAATTTTGAAATTGTATATTGAAATCACCTTAAATATGATTTTTTTTTTTTTCCCCCTGAAATCAACCTCCTAATTGTATTTGGATCGGATAGTTTTTTTTGATGTATGTGGCTCAATTTAGTTATCCTTAATATTTTCTTCAAATTTGGAAAATTTTTGAAATTCAAGTCCTTATATTGCTTGTCACGTTTTCTTGAAGATGCCAAAAGAAAAAAGGCAAAAAAATGAGGGCCTCATTTGTTTTCAGAATTTTTTAATATTGTTCCATTGTCTTTTCTTTACTTCACACTTTTGACTTTATTATTTAAGATATGTTTATATCCTAATACATTACATGGGCATCAAATTTGACATTATGAATGATTAGATTTCCTACATATATGAGGAATATCAACAAAGAATGTACAAGAAGCATAATTCTGCATAATATCCCTAAAAGATTTTTTACAATGGTCAATTCTTCATAATAATAATACTTGAAGAAGCTATGTCAATTAAGCAAAGTAATTTTAGATAATGCTTTTATGAATTTTTGACATCTTATTCCCTATTTGAATGTTTATGCATGTTGAGCTCCCACTATATCAAAAACAATCATGATAAATGTACTTTTTTTTACATCATTTTTGACATTATGTCACGTGACGATATATGATTAGACGGTTTTGAAAAAAAAAACACACTTTCTTACCCAATACTTTTTGAACTTCAATATAATTTACACAAAAATATCAACAAGGAATGTTTAACATTATTTTATTAGAAATTATATCGTTAATCCCAATTGACAATTACACAACATTGTACCAAATTCAAACCAAGCGTCTCCACTCTCCAAGCCCTAGTGTCTCTCTTTCTCAGCCAATACTCATAGACCATCGTCATTCGCCATCGGTTGGCCACAATACTCTCTCTCTCTCTCTCTCTCTCTCTCTCTCTCTCTGTGTGTGACATCTCATTTTCAAATGCTATTTGGGTATTTTTCATTTAATTTGGATCTATATTTTTAGACCCTAAACAGCAAGGGAATTGTAATTTCAATAGATTAACGAGCCCCTATTTGATTGCCATTACTTTTTAAAAAATAGAGTTTTAAATAATAATTTTCTGAAGAACGCGTAATTAAAACGTAAGGAATAGTTTTGAATTTATGTGCAAAATATTTTTATTGTATAAATGTGTGGTTGAAAATGAATAAGAGAAGTAAAGAGTTTTGTTTTTAAAGGAAGACAAACAAGCCTTGAGTTGCACTTTTGCTCTTTACATTAACGTTGTGCTTGGTACACAAAGTTACACCTTTTAAAAAAATTAAGTATAAAATTAGAGTACATATGTATTAGGGTGGATTAATGTATATGCTATTTGCACCGTCTTTCCTAAGCTAACTAGATAATGTCGTAAGGAGTGATAGGATGGATTCAAGCCGGATAAGAAAATAATGCAAATATCATTTCTTTAAAATGAAAAATTTTAAAATATATCCACCTTAATCCAACTTAATATTAATTACCCTTATTTTTTCCATAATTACTTTATATTGTCATATCAAACGTGACCTAAGTCTTACTCCCTAATGTTTATTAGGTAGATGGATTTTTATATTATAAAATTTTAGTTTTCTAACTTAAATATTTTAATTAATAGTAAAAGAATGACTGTTTTGCCCTTTTTAATATTTGAATACACGAGTCAAATGGTTTGACTAACGAAAAATTAATGAAATGCATGATTTGTGCTAATTTTTCAAAGGTTTGGAACAAATTTTGAAACGAGTTGGGAACGTTTGCTGTTATCCATCCTAAAAAGTATGTATCATACAAAGATTATTAGAAAGTGTTTAGACGATTTTTGCCTTTAAAAGTTAAGCACGGGAGAGCGCTCGGCAGCAAAAATTGACAAAAAGGACCATTAGCTCACAAAACTTATAGGTTGAGGGGATTAGTGTCAAGAATTGAAGTATAGGAATCACTTGTGCACAGGAGACATAGGTAAAGGACTATCTGTACAAAAATCCCACGTCTCTATTACTAGTTCCGACACAATGATGATCAAAATATTGAATCAGACTTGCACTGAAGGTTCATTTTCATCGTATAAAAAACAATAATTGTATTAACAACCATATGTCAAGGCTCTATATAGTCAAAAATATTCATGACATATATATCAACCCCGAGAAATTCCTTTAACACAAATTTTCCAAGTTTTCGCATTTAATGCAATCAAGATTACCAGTCAACTGGAGCTGTTCCACTCGGTTCGTGATAGAACCAATTGGTTGATCAAGTTGAGTTCAAGTTCGATAGAAACTGAACTTTTCGATAGTCTTAGACTACCAATAACGGGATCCCAATTTCAAAGGTGGGACGGTTTACTCGTAAATCAGCAACTAAAAATTATTTTCAATAAACTCGAGGTCAATTACATGAGTCCTTGGAGCAGTGAACTTGCTCTAAATTGAAAATACAAAACAAATTATCATTAGAATAGAGGCTACAAGAGTAGGGGAAAAGGGGGGTGGGGGTGGTTGGGTTTACACAACGTTTGAAATATGTATTAGCTGGCAGACATCCCATGCAGACAGAAAGCTTTGACTACTCAAAAAGAAAAATGCTATAGTTACCATTTATCATGAACCCAATCATGACTGAATTGAATTCAACTCAAACTCATCATGGATGCAATGATGAAGGAAAAGAAGTCAATTCACAATGAGCAAAAAGCCAGATTCCTAATCCTGTCGCCTATTGCATAAATAGCATAGGATCCCAAGCACATTTTGCAAACATTCCATGTTTTTCAAGGTTGGTTATCATTAGCAAACACAGAGCACCTAACAAAACTGTCTATATTTCAATTCCAGTCTTCTGCTTACAACTCTCCTTTCCCAGGCTCCGTTTAAGATGATAAGAACACGGATTCTACTCTATCTTTTCCTTGCATGGCTTATCTCGGCAGCATTTCAACAGCATCAGACTATTAGTCTTGTCGTTCAAGCAACAGAATCAGGCAAGCTACTATATTTATCATACTTTGAGATGACATGCTTAATTATACTTCTTGTGGTTGTACATTCCCAATCGACATGCTTGAGTTTAAATGTTGTGCTCTAGCATTTAAACTTAAAAGCATGTCTACATCGAATATTCCTCCCTTCAAACAGTTTAAGCTTTTAAATGAAGTAATTTAACAGGGCGTCGAACGGACAATTTAGCTTCAAGCTTCTTCCCGTCCATGTATAAAAAAATTGTGCATGTTGAGAGCATGTCTAATGGCTCAAGCTTTTAGATGTAGTTTGACTACCTTAATAATGCTTACTATCAAATCAAACAATTATTTGGTTCTTAAAAATTCAAGTTTGTAATGAAGCCTCTACCTTCTGAATCCTCACAACAGCTGGTTTGAAGATCAAACCTGCAGAATACAGCACGAGGACAGCAACTGGACACATCGTGAGAACTTCGGTAAGAATATAAGCAAGTTCTATCCTTCATTTACAGTCCAAGTATTGTTTCTTAAGGTGATATAAAATGGTCATTCGTTACTCGTGTTTATACCAACAGGAAAATGGCATCAAGGGGGGGAAAGAGAAGAAAATTCGTAAAGCACCATCTGGACCAAATCCAATTGGAAATCATCGTCCACCATCAAGACCGTAAAGTGATGCATTTATTCTACCTAGAACACAATATTACTTCAAATTTAGAGGTTAAACCTATTGGCATTAGTTGAAACTTATGTTCAGGTTACTACTATAATAATAATTACTTTTAAGATTTAATTTGCCCACATCACATATGGGTTCCAGAAATGATTTACTATCTACAGCACCGCCAACTCTTAAAAATGCTCCATTTATTTAATCTAATCATAGTTATGAAAATCAAATTTATGCAGAGATCAAAAATTGCTAGAAAACCATAATATTTAATCTGTTTTCTGTATGACTTGTCAGGGTCTTAGAAGTTCTGCAGAGTTTCTATTTACATATTACAGCTCACTACAGTAAGGCTTAAAGGGTTTACTTGGTTAAATTTCGATGGTTCCTCTGATTAGCATATTTTCTATTGTCAACAAGATATACGCTTATAGAACAAAAATAAAAGAGTAGAAAAATCTCTACCAGTGTTGTTCAGGAAGGAAAAGTCGAGTGAGGTGAGCAGTTGGAGAGAGAAACAGATGCTAAACATTTCTCAATTTAAAGCAAAAAATACTGGTTCCAAATGATACTGTATTGAGCTGATTCAGCTCCAGTTCAACCCCTAGTCTATACATGATTTTGAAAAGCAAGAATAATACATGAGGTAAAATTTTGCTTACCATGCTAGCCTCATATTTGGCAACACTGCATAATTTTCATACAAATATGATATACTTGACAGTCTGAAAGAAGATATTCTACAGCAAGCATGCATGGGAACAAAGTGTAATTGATTTTTTTGATAGTGTTGTTAGACCTCAAACTAATGACTGGCACAAAAATAGCCACCAGAAATTGACCAATTGACTGGGTGCAGTTTATCATACCTACAATGTTCGCTGGCAATAAAACAATTCATACCAAACACTTCTTTTCTGATCTTTTACTCCAACGAGGGCGCTTCGGACCTGATTTGCTGCCAATAGAAGCATATGCCTCATCCAGAACTCCTTATCCTGCTGATTGAATTCTGTCAAATTGATTTTAAGATAATCTGTTTCAAGACTAAGTAGTAATACTAGATCTTCAAATAATAGTACGTCATATTTCAACCCATAGAGAAGATTGTGGTTATTTGCAGCAGACGAGCAATCGTGTGCATGTTTCTGGTGCATAATGGTGTCCCCATTCTTTAGAAATAGCAGTGTCACTCCAGCTCATTGGCTACCCTAATACTAGAACCCCAAAGGAACTGTGTCGATCCATCAGGAATGGGATAATACTCTCCACCTCAGATAAAAGTCACAAATACTACCCACTACCACTGTTATTACCAAAGCGAAAAGATTTGACTTTTCTAGAATCACTTTTCACCTTTCAGTTAAAAAAAATCATATGAACTCTATACTAATGTTGATCCTTATTTATTTGAATTATGTAGAACATTTCTAGAGATCATGTAAAGATTAATTTTATGAATAACACGTGACCATGTCTCAAGTCAAAACACTTTTGATCAAATCCCCAGGTCCAAAGATTTGATGTCCGTAACCAAACCCAATCATCAAATTGGAGACGACAAACCTAGAGTAATGAACTTTAGGTACTGCTCCATCAAATCATTGGGTTAATGATTACCAGCAATTTCAACTTTGACCAGTGACAAAGAATTTAACTCTGTCACTCTCCTATTTGCATGTTTTACCCATAATACCTAGAAATCACCACTACTCTGAACAGGTAAAAAGAATCCTAAGATAATAGGGGTCTCTCTGGACAGGCAATGTACACGGACCATCCATGTATTACTTTCCAGCTCTCATGTTAGAACATGCACAGACAAGGATATAACTCCCTCTCTCTATCTCTTACCCCGTGTCCTTGTGGGTGGGTGGGTGTTTACCTAACTGTCTACATGTATATGATTATGAATGAAATCATCATTTACTTGACTCTCCTGATGAAAGAAACATGTGATTCAAATTGTTTTCAGAGGAGAAAAATAGCATGGAGTTCAGAGAATGCTACAAAGCAATTAATGATTAGCATGTTGTATTCAAAGTCGTAGAACATCAAACAAATTCTAAGGTTTACTTTGAAGCAGGAAAATGAGTTCCCAACAGGTATCTGGCATTGGAAGACATTTCACACAAGAAAACTACAACTGTATCTTCACATGATAAGTGTTGCCAGTTTATGGTGTTATGCATTACTGTTAAAATCATAACATAACAAAAACTCGAATTCTTTATTCGTCCCTTATGTATGTTCCACGAGGTTATGCATCCCAATGTTTATTCAAACTTATAGATTACAAAATACACTATCCGAAACTAATGACACCACATAAATCAAATTTTACATTTAAAATTGAAAATCAAAAGAAAATTTTTAAGTGGCTTTAGGAAAAGACCAAACAAAAACAAGTCCGCGTATCGGACATGGAAATTGAATGCTACCCTCTCAAAACAAATACTAAATTAGATCACGAATACCTGAGCAGAAAGAGATGCATTATAGAGTAATTAGACACGTCTGGCTAATATTAGTAGCAGCAAAATTTACCTATTTCTTTGTCTAAGGGAAGGTGGCAATTTGAACAAGAACTCATAAGTTATGACATGCGCAGAGGAAAGTCCATCCTTTATTACCTGAATGAGTAAAGCGTGTGCTTCATCAATTCCTTAAACTCCACCTAATATTCAAACACCCAATAACTGGAAGCAAAGACCTCTGCCTGGTGTGTGATTTTCTTCTTCTTAGACAAATAGTAATCGATATAAGAGTTTGAACTGCGAGAGATAGTTTTATGTTAGTCAATTATGTATCATGCTAGATTCATGAAGTGACCAATCAGACATTATAGAATAAACTGCCGACCAAAATAAACTGCGATCCTTGCGCATCAGGTCAAGAGTTGAGCGTAAGATCTGAATTAGCACATCAGAGCCCAAGGAGGTATGAGTAGGACTCGTCAGTCCCTACAAGTTGACATTTGCACTTGATTTAATCAAAAAAGCACTGAATCAAGGAGATCCAGATGTTGGACAGAATTTGACTAGTTAGCAAAAATTCTGGCCACTGAACTAGAGGGACTGGAGGTTGTACAATTACAAAAATCACATAACTAGGGCTCTAACAAGTAGCCTTCTCTGATTGATAGAGCAAAGCTCTAATACCATGAAAAGAAAGAGAGAGTATATACTTCATCGTAACGTATTGAAATGCAAAGACTCCATTTATAGGACAAAATAATATTATAAATGAAAAGAATCTACATTATTGTACACCATACAATTATAGAATTAATCTACAGAAGATCTCGTCAACCATAAGATTAGGGGAATCTCCTGTGTAATACAAGGGGCACTGATTCCATATTGGAAATCATGCAGACTAATAAATTCACTTCACTGATTAGAAATAATCTAAAGAATTATCTTTTAGCTTTTGATGTGGTACCGAGTGGATTTCACAAGAGAAATGATAAGATGCAATTGACACCGTCATTTGAGGTTAGAAGTGTACTAGGGAGAGAAATGAATAACTCTGGATTGTAAAATCCTGCTTAGCGAGAATTAATATCCAATAAATAAGGTGGCTATATTACATTCCAAGTGAATGTGTATATGAGCATTAACAAAAGCCATGGTCCATGAAATTCTATGGCAACTGCAAACAATTGGAGCTGAAACTTTGATCAATTAAAATTCGAAGGTTAGATATAAAACTTTGAACATTATACACCTCCAAGACAACTCTCGCATCTGAAATGATCATCATTTAAAAGATTCAGTATCAAGGTTTTGTGCAAACTTGATATCCAATATCTCAGTAAGTGTTAAGAGATTTAAACAATGCTTCATCCTCATCAATTCGATCACCAGAAATGGAATCTTCACCATTTTAACAACATTATCAAATCAGAAATTTAGCTAAATTTAACAACAAAAGATAGAAAATTTGTATGGAAAACAAAGCACGTGAATTAGGGAAAATAGATTACTCAGCAGTAGCAATTTTAACTTTTTTAAGTCATAGGTTCGATTCTTCTACCATTGCGTGCGTACTCAAATTTTGAATTTGCAAAAAACGAAGACTTTTCATCCTCGTTAATTTTTCCCACACAATCTCACAATGCAAATCTAAATATAAATTAGTCAAAATAAACATTAAAGTAAAATACAAACGCATAGACTCAGATGCATATACTTATAGGTAGTCGACATGCAACTAATCATCTATGGAGAGACCTGCCTTGGGGTCTGCTGAGCTTGAAATTTTGAAGTCTTCACTGCGATTCTCTCTTCCCCCACTAAACTGCCCAAAAATGAAGATTCAATTTTTGCATATTTTCCTTTTCAATCGACAACATTGTGATCGAATTAAAGTTCTGAAGAAGGAACAGAAAACTTCTGCTTTTGTTTCATTTAGAAAAAAAAAAAAAAAAGGATCATTGCAATTTCAAGGGCGCAATTCCATGGTTTTAGCTAAACATGAAATGAGGTGCAATAATAACGTCAACTAAATTTAGGGAACATTGCAGCAGCGGTCCCTCGACGTTTCGATTTTTGCAGATATTACCCTAATCTTTAATTTGTACCAGTAAAGGCCCCTAACTTTTCATAAATATGCACTTGAAGTCCAACTGGATAGAAACCATCCATTTAATCGTTAATTGACCAAAAAACTCAAAAGTTGAACAATTTTAACAAATTAAAAAGGGTAAAATGGTACTTGGCATATTTCCAAATATTGACAGTTAAAATAATAGAACTACAAAAAAAAAATCTATACCCACGCCACCTTCCAGCGCCACCCACCCCATCTTTATCTTCTTCTCCATTTTCTATACCACCACCACCAACCATTATTGCTTTTTGAACCTTACATTACTTTTTCTTCATTATTACACCACCACTACCGTCAACCTTCTTTTTGACCCTTACATTACTGCTTCATCAAGACAAGCCTCCTCAAAATACTCTTACTTCTTGGCATTTAAGGTCGATTTTCTTGAGCCTCCTGGTGCGATCAATGAGAAGCTTTTGCAAGTCACTAAATTCAGACTCCAACGTTTCTATATGCTGCTCTACTCCTTCACCCACTCCATTCAATAACTCCGATATCCCAACCTTCATCGCACCGTCAGTACAAACAAAAATTTTGAAACAATTTATGCAAATTACCTATGTAAGGGTTGGATTTGGATGAAATGCTTTCTAAACCTTTCATGATTGATTGGTTTTTGGAGTTGATCGATAGGTTTGATAATGGTGGTGAAAAAGGGAATTTTGAGATGTGGGATTCTTGTATGAAGGTCGAGAAGTCGCAACTATAAGAGCAAACCAAGGTTCTTGAGTGGTACCGGCTGAGCACAAAAAGTACCCTGGGAACATAATTCCGGTAATCTTATAAATTTTCTCATGCAAAATACGTGATCTCGTCGAGAAAGTTTGTCTGCTAACACTATCTATACATGACTTGTCAATGAAAGCTTATACTAAATAAATTTTAAAGAAGAGTGTTGTAAACGCTAATTTATGAAATAAATACAAAAGTAGACATATAATCAAAGGCGTCAATGTGCATGAGAAATTTAGATGTACGTCCTAGGTGTAGGGACGAGCATCCCTCATTGCCCCCTTCTCGTCAGAAATTTTGAGGGTGAGGGACGATGATTAAAACATCAATCTTTGTCGGTTCAATTACTTATTTATTTATTAATATTATTTTTTATTCTTAAACTATGGTAACAACTTGAGCAAAATAAAATAAAATTAGACATGGATACTCAGGGTTCGAGGATGGATCATGTTCACCATTCCCACCACCCTGAATCATTAGATGCTGTAGGGCAGTCTCGTATAGGCCTGGACATCGAAGGCCCAAAGTCGGCCCCGAAAAGTGATATCAACTTCAGTTGGGCTATCCAAGCCCAACGTCATCTTGTACTCACTATCTAGGGTTTTTCATAACTCTGTATTTTTGCACTTTTAAGTTCTGACCCTTCACTCTCATCCGCCTCCCTCAAACACTAGAGAGAAGGCGTAGAAGGGAGAACGTGAAATGGGTACGAGGAAAAGCAAAAGAATAATCTGAACTTTTCATTTTATGTAAAACTGGCGATTAATTTCATATGCTTTAACGTTGTTTTGTTGATTTATAGCTCGGATCAAGGTTCATGAGTTGAGACAGAAGAACAAGGCGGAGCTTTTGGCGCAGTTGAAGGATCTGAAGGCGGAGCTGGCGTTGCTAAGGGTCGCAAAGGCCACTGCTGGTGCCGCTAACAAGCTGTCGAAGATTAAGGTGGTCAGACTCTCTATAGCCCAGGTGCTGACCGTCATTTCTCAGAAGCAGAAGGCAGCTCTCAGGGAAGCGTACAAGAACAAGAAGTTCTTACCTCTTGATCTCCGCCCCAAGAAGACTCGTGCTATTCGCAGGCGCCTAACCAAACACCAGGTATATCTATTCACATAACATTTGTTTTTTTTTCCTATATTTTGTTGGTTGTCTTATGATATTTGAGATTTTATCGTTATCAGCTTAGTTAGTAGTGTGATTCGCATTGGATAAATCATTGAACATCCCAAAAGCAATAGTTTTCCTGTAAATTTTAGTCTGCCTAATTTCTCAGTTTTCGGTTTGCTGCTCCTCTTGTTTTGCATTGAGTCTATTAGTTGCAGTTGATCCATACCCCTCATTTGTTGCGGTATAAGAGTCTTTATGTTAAATAATCTTGTTGTAGACTATAATCTATCAGATTAATTAACTAATAAATACTTTAGCCCCTGTTTGATATCCTCTATTGCCCTAAACCAAAGTTTTGAATATTGAATTTTTGGAAAATGCGCCTTTAAAAAGTACTGAAAAGTCGTGAGTTTGCGACAGAATATTTTACTGTGTGCATGTGTGGTTGATAATGAGTATGATGAAAAAAGATTGAAATAAAGGATATCATTAATGTATTGCATTATGGACTAGTTAACTGGAATACAAGAATGTGCACTTTAATCCTCTAATAAGAGACCTTGTTAATATTTCTGGTTTCTTATTGTGTATTATTGAATACTAAAATTTGTTAATGAACTATAATGATTTTATTTATCTTAGAATTATCAAACCCGTGGTTTCGTAGTAAATTTCTGTTCCAATCCTGGTTTAGAAAGTGTTGGATTCGACTTTTGTCGTGCTTCCAAAATCCAATTCAGCTGATGCCTAATGCTAGTGATCCCAACTACACCAACCATTGTGATCAAGACACATAGCGCACAACACGTATGATGACTACATTGACTAGATCTATGACAACTAATTAGGGATGCGCCCTCATCAGTTTCATTGATTTATTTCTCATGTTTCACTGTACTCCCTGTCTTTGGATGGGATTATTTACTGTTCTTATGCTGGAGGTTTGGTCTACGCACTCTCCCAGTTGTACCTCTCTTTTCTTTACTATTTAATAATAAAATACCGATATAATGTGGTTTTATTTTTTTTTTAAAAACTAAGTAGGTCTTACCTTTAACATGACAAAACTGTATCTTTTTAACTATGAGCTACTTCCAAATTTGATATTTCAGTTTGCTTCCCCAGTATTTTGGATGTCTTAATTTTTAATTTTTTCTTGTTTTGTTTGGGAGGATATGGGGTTGCGAAGATGGAAACTCAGTCAATATGTATCAGGATTTCAACTTTCCTTTGACTAATCCAATATAGTATGATCTTACCTTCTTTCTAGTTTGGACTGTTTTAATAGTAGATACTGCATCTGATGGACCTTTTATTGTAAGAATGTTTTCAAATCTCTTCTATGATGTGGTTCGACTGAAGGGTATTATTCTAGACAGATCCTCAATGAGTTTGTCGAACATTGGTTGAAAATGAATGGAAATTGTTCCTTACCTTGTTCCCGCTATCCTCCTTTGGACAAACTAATATTGCTGTCGTTTCAATGGTATGAATGTGTCTTTTGTGCATCAAAGCTATAGTATTCTGATTTGCGATAATATTTTATAATGAAGTACATGAACATTTGTCTGTTGCCATATTGCATCAGTTGATGGTTTTCTAGTACCTAAATTACATCCATAACTTTTATGGCCTTCTTGTGTTTTTCTTTCTTGCCACTATGTGTCGAGTTTGTAGTTTTAGCTCGCATGTTCCTGCTTTCTTTTGTGCTTGGATCCATTTTTCCTAACTCAGTGGTGTTAATTTTGACTTTTGGGTCTTTTTTTTAACCTGTAGGCATCTTTGAAGACCGAAAGGGAGAAAAAGAAAGAGATGTACTTCCCAATGAGAAAATATGCAATTAAAGTTTAAGTTGATCTACTATCAAAGTTGCTTTGGGTATTATCCATGTTTAATCTAGGAGGATAACTATATTTTGTTTCGTAAGTTGTTAGCTGATAATTGTTATGATTTTGAGGACTTTTGAGTTTTGAGTGTTATTATTTCTCATTAGCTAATGATTACAACACTGAAGTTTTTTATTGAAGTTCTGCGCTTTATTTATGTTTTTTTTGTATCCGTATTAGTTTGTGTTACCGATCTATAATATACTCCTTCCATCCCAATTATATAGGTTGAGTTTCCTTTTTTTCTTGTTCCAAATATATACACGTTTTTTAATGTAGAATATTTTGTTGTGTTCATTTACCAATATACCCTTATTAAATTTTTCCCACATGTCAATTTCTTGAAATCATTCAAACACACATTTCCTACTTCTTGAAAATATGAAATAACTCTCATTTCTCCTTCAAATTCTTTATTAGTTCCAATAATAATTTAGTTTTACATACTGAAAATTAAATATAAGTAAAGTAGAAAAGATTTTGGCAAAAATTAATTTTTCAATGACATTAAAAAAGTTTTTTTAATCAGTGTGAAAAACAAAACAAGCCTATATAATTGGGACGGAAGGAGTATTACGCATTCAGTGAGAATTATTTTTTGGACAGTTTTAATTTTACCACAATTCAATAATTTCGATAATACTTTATATTTTGTTAAGACGTAATAAATACTACAATAGTGAGAATCATTTTTTGGATGATTTTAATTTTATTACAATCTAAATCTTTCAATAATATTTTACTTATTTTTTTAATATGTAATAAATACTATAAAATTCAGAGAGTATAATTTTCTTCTTTTAAATTTCTATCATTAATTTTATTTTCTTTAGCTCATTTGAGACTCATCAAATCTTCCCAATAAATTGATATCGAATATTACTATCATTGTACTTATAACATTTAAAAATAACGTGCAATACTCGTTCAATTCTGACTGGTATAACTAAAAATAGAATGTTATTCTATAATTTGAATGCCCAAAGTTAAAAACAAATTCTCATTTCTAACATAAAGCAAAGACGCGAGTAGTTTGTCTTCCTATTGCAAGTTTATGCAAAAATGGTTTAGTTTATTTTCGAGATGTAGGGCTCGTTGCACATCGTGCTAAATTCGAAAATTACATTTAATCCTATGAGTCGGGTTTGTATATGCATAATATTTTTTTAGATTCAATTTAAAAATCCAAGAATTCCATTTCTCCATCAATTATCATTCTTGTTAATGTCTAACGTGGATTAATCATCTTTCTCCATTTAGCATTAAGGGTCCGTTTGATTGCACGGGTGAAAAATAGATGGAAAGAAAATGTTTTACATGAAATTGATTTTCCTAAAAAATGTTTTACTGGGAATTATAATTAATTGTGCTTGATTGGTATAATTTTTCATGGAAAATGTTGAAAGTTTGGTGTCCATTTGGCTTCCTTTTTTTTATGAAATTTGTTCATTAAAGTGATAATTTTTTCTACAATTGAGTCTAAAATTTGTTCCAATTGTAAAAAAAAAAAAAATTTTAAAAAGATTTACTATACCGAATATCATTCGTTTGACTTTATTTTGAATGAAAGTTGTCAATAAAAGGGAAATTTTTTTTTTTACCATTGTATCTAGAATTTGTTCCCATTGCAAATAAAAAAAAAG